ATGAATTCTATGAGCCTGTAAACAAGCTACCCCAGCTCTCTACTTGCAGCTGGTGGGAATGCTGAGAATTTTATACTGAATATGTTCAACAGTCAGATTTACCTTGTTTGACTATAGTATACATTTGACAAGGCTTTTTTTTTGGAGGGGGTGAAAAATAATCAGAGTTGTGTAAAGAAGTTGGAATTCCCTAAGAGGAAGTGATAATGTGAACGAATCCTCCCTCCCATTATGTCAGCTTCATTTACAGTCCCCTTTCATACAGCAGCCGCCAATGTTAACTTAGCTCTGGAATCAAGTTTGCAGAACTTGTTTGTACGTACGATTCTATACCTGACTATGAGTGGGAATATGTGTGAAATAGAACTGGTTCATGTATTCCGGACATCCAGTTTGTTTATGTTCTGGTGTGTGTGTGGGGGGGGAATTTTCAATCTAATGTGGTAGCAGAGTAGTATGAAAACATGCAACATTCACAAGAGGTTTGCCCCTGCCAAGGTCACTGAGGAGTCAAAGATTTTTGATTATACAGACTTGTAGATGTGCACTGATGTTGGTTTCTTGGGAAGTTTAAAGAATTTAGGATACAGTTCATTTGGGACATCTGAATTACATGTAAACTTTGTGCCATTTTGGTGATAAGCAATACAGAAACTACTGTTTCTGTTCCCTGTAGGAATGTGAAAATATAAATTGTACATAACTTTTAATCATTTTCAATTTTTTTAGGCTAGCAGCATAATTTTTTTGGATTGCTAAAATAACAATATCAAAGTCAAATAACTTTTATTGGCATACAATATTAGAAGCAATTCCCAATATTAATACAATCCAATAGACATTATAAAATAGATAGTCATGGTAAACCATTCCAAGGATATATCAGGCCTATAACATAACTCAAGTTGTCACAAGATAGATTTGGCCATAAAAAAATGCCTGAGTCATAAAGTAAATTTGAATTCTAAACTTTAAAATTGAGTTTTTAAATTTAAAAATTAAGACTCATTAATGTGAGTCCGTTTTATAAAACCATGAAGAAACTTAGCGGTCAGTTCAATTATCTCCGGATCTTGTGAAGCAAGGAGATAATGTACCTTGATTCTATCCGGTTGGCCTGCTACCAACCTTAAGGGGGGATTCTATAAATTCCACTCGAATGTCATTTAACAATTTACAATTTAAGAGTACATGCTCAACAGTTTCTATTTCTCTTCTATTACATCCACAAAACCTTTCTGAATGAGGGATTTTCTTATATCTCCCCCCAAGAATAGCAGAGGGGAGAACATTAAAACGAGCCAACAAATAAGTTCTACACATTTGCTCAAGTTAAGCTCCAAACAAATGGCAGCATAAGATACGCACGAAGGCAACCCCAGAATCTTCCGCAGGAATTTGGATTGAAGTTGTTCAACTGCTTTATTAAAAGCAGTAATCCATATAGGAATACCATATAGTAGCTTCACGCTAATTTGGTGTGCAAACACTTTTATAGCTGCTGGCACATACTGATTACCCTTTGGGTGCGTTCAGACGGGGTGTTTCAGCCGGCATAAACTGTACCAGTTGGAACCGGTGCAGTTTATGCCGGCTGAAACACGATCACACTTACCTCCTGTCTGCGGATCCCATCGCTGTATGCCCGTTCACATGCAGCGGGCATTGGTTTTTTAAAAAAAACCTCAGTTTGCACATGCGCATAGGCAGCCATCCACAGAATGGTGAGCTTCACGCATGCGCAAAACACCCCGTCTTACCTTTAAAGTTTAAAGGTAAAGGTTCCCTTGCTTGAAAGCCAGTCGAATCCAACTCTAGGGTTGCAGTGCTTGCCTGGATGTCTACCCCGTCTATCCCGTTGATCAAGAGGACCCTATCTCCCACATGCAGGGTGCCGTCCCAATGTGCCGCACCCCCTTCTGCGATCTGCGAAATGAAAATCCTCGAGTCCACCGGCCCGTACGGCATGGAGCCCTTACCCCCCCGCAATGCTGAAACCGAGCCCCCGTTCATTTCACATCAGGCAAGCCGAGAGACGCTCCATGGGGGCCGCTCCTTCGGGCTGCCCTGGGAAGTGCAGGGCTCCCCCTCACCACTCCCGAGGGCTGTAGTCGTCTTCGGGCCACAGGGGAGTCACCGTGATGGCATTCTCGGGCTCCACCATTCGCTCCCGCAGCACCGTCATGCTCCTGTCCCTTTTGTTTTTGACACTGCAACTCCCATCATCATTCTGAACTTTTGGGCCTATTTTCAAACGCATAGCTTTCTTTTTGGATGAATTATGCCTTCCATGGACAACTTTTGTTTCCACAGCAATTGAGGGAGTGGGGCGTTCCATTGATAATATGGGCAATGATGCTCATTTTGGGCATTACAACTCTCACCATCATTCTGTAGCTAGAGGCCAGTTTTGAGGTTCCAATTTTTGTGCCTACCAGTGTAAATCATGTTGAGAGTTTCTGGGAACTGTATGGGCTGGGATATTCCATTTCACTTCATGTTTGGCACTGCAACTCTCATGTTCACCCTGAAGCCAGTTGCCAGGAGACTCCTACATTTTCTGATGAGTTATGCATGTTGCAGATAGATGGATCCTTTTATTGTTATAGACTAGGGGCTCTGTCCCTGCTTATTCCACTTGCCAACAATGAACCTCCTGTGCTCACCATATACAACAGTAGTTAGAATATTGAATGAGCAATTTTGCCTTCTGCCAATAGTTTATTGCCTCCTGAAACAATACTAGAGGAAACATCTAAAGAGTGAGCATCCCTTTTTGAACACTGCAGCCAAAGTTAGATGTGTGTGTGTGTGTGTGTCCCCAAAGGGGAAATTGTTCTCTTCTCTATTTTATAGTCACAACAACACTGTGAAGCAGGTCTGGATGAGAGGGTGTGACCAGGGGTGTGCCAAAGAATTACAGCAGAAAGGAAATTCCTTATTCTCCCTTACTTGTTCCTTTCTACAATTGGTGCTGCTTCTCTTTTTTTCTGATTACTGTTGTTGCCCCTTTCGTTAGTAGCCTTATCCACACCTGCCATTGCCCTTCCCACTCATCAATGCCACTACTGCATCCTCCTCCTTGTCATCCTGACACAAGATGGGCATTCCACCATGCATTGTGGTGGCTATAAGAACACAAAATGATGACTGAAATCAGAATTGGTTTAATTTTTGTCATCCATACAGTTTCAAAATAAAATTTAGATTACTAATAAGACCCTTGGGGAAACCCCAGATTTTGAAGAATCCTCATAAATAGATATGCCTGGCCCTGGTGCATGGATCTACCTATCCACACAGGGGAGCAACATATTAGAACAAGATACAGTGACACCAAAACATCACATGTATTTATTTATTTACATTTATATCCCAGAATGGGTCACAACAACAACAAAAATTACAATAATTCAAACAGTTAAAGAATATCAGAACAATAAAAACAGTTAAAACAGTTAAAAGGTAGGCATTGCAACAGGCTACAAGTTCAGTGGTCCTAATAGCTGGGAACGACTGGGCCACAGCTGAACCATAGAGATCTTGTTAATGACAGTATAACATTACAAGATAGCAGCAGGGAGGCCAACTGGTGGATGCCTACCTCAACCGAAGGTCTGATGGAACAGCTCAATTGTGCAGGCCTCATCTCAATCGGGATCAAGTTCCACCAGGCCAGGGCCAGGGCGGAAAAAGCCCTGGCCCTGTTTGAGGCTAAGCAAATGTCCTTTGGGCCAGGGACAACCAGCAACTGATGGTCTGTGGAGTGCAAAGCTCTCTGGGGCACATATGGGGAGAGACGATCCCTTAGATATGTTGGTCCAGGCTGCATAGGGCTTTGAAGGTCAACACCAGCACCTTGAAATGGATCTGGTACCCAATTGGTGTCAGTGCAATTGGTGAAGCACCAGCAGAATGCACGCCCACACAGACATCACAGTCAGCAAGCATGGCAATGCTCCCTCTATGCTGTGGGGTTTTGTGAGCAAAAAATCTACTTTGTAAACTACTGGCATTCAAGTTGTGAGCAAGCGATTTGGCTGTTGCATAGATTAGTTTGCTCTGGGGCCATCCTTCCTGAACTAAGACAAAAATGTATGAGCTGGAGGCTAAAAAACTGTGAGCTAGATCACACTTAGCTTAGAGGGAACACTGGTATCACCATATTTTGCACCAGCTGGAGTTTCCAGATCAGCCTCAAGGGTAAGCTGTAAAGTTACAGTAATCAAGCCTGGAAGTGACCATTGCATGGGAGAACCAGCTGCCTGATCTGCTGGAGATTATAAAAGGCAGACTTGGCAACTGCGGCAACCTGGGCCTCTGTAGACAGTGAAATATCCAAAGTCACTCCTAGGCTGACATTTTCCCGAATCATAGTAAATGCATGTATTATACACACATATTAGACACACATTTCCAAGAATTCATGTTTGAGAAGGGAGAAATATCCCTGGCAGTAAGCTTTCAGCATGCTATATGCACATAACAAGACAGCCGAAACGGCAATCATTATACCTGGGCTTACTGAGCAGGAATATTACTGCATGTTATTATTCCCATGTGTTCTGTGTTCATTCGTTTCTCATGGGTGAAGAATGAGAAAAACTTTACCAAGTGCCTCTTTCACCTCCTTGTTCCTTAGACTGTAAATAAGAGGATTTATAAATGGTGGCAGGACGGTATAGAAGAGTGATAGGAATTTGTCCGTATCCAGAGAATGACTTGACTTTGGTTTCAGATACACTGTCATTCCAGAGCCATAGAAAACCACCACAACCATCAGATGTGAGGAGCATGTTGAAAAGGCCTTGCACCTCCCCTCTACAGATGGTATCTTCAGAATAGTGGAAGCAATGCATACATATGACATGAGGACCAAAGCAAAAGGGATTACTGCAAGTAATACAACCTCCACTCGGGCTACGAGCTCATTTATAGAGACGTCTCCACATATAAGGTTGACCACTGCAGGGATATCACAGAAAAAGTGGTTTATTTCATTGGAGTCACAAAAATAAGAGGTGAAAACCAAGGAAGTCTGGGCAAGTTGCACTGGAACACCAGCCAACCAGGAGGCTGCAACCAGCTCATAGCATACTCTACTACTCATAATAAGAGTGTAATGCAAGGGTTGACAAATAGCCACATAGCGGTCATATGCCATGGCAGCCAAAATGTAACACTCAGCTGCCCCTATGATGAGGAAGATGCTCATTTGAAAAGCACAGCCAAGGAATGAAATGGTTTTGTCCTCTGATAGGAGATTTCCAAGCATTTTGGGAACAGTAATTGAGGTGTAACATATCTCCAGAAAGCTGAGATTCCTAAGAAAGAAATACATAGGATTGTGGAGTGTCTGATCGGTCAATGTGACAATGATTATTAGGCTGTTCCCAGTCAGAGTCAACAGATAGATGGTGAGGAATACAGTAAAGAACAAGCCTTCTAGGTCCAGCAGGTTAGAGAATCCCAACAACAGGAAGTTATTCACCATGCTCTGATTTCTTCTCATGGCTTAATCTGTTAGGACGGAAAGATGGAAAAGAGGCAACAGCCCTTTGTGCCAGCTCAAAATGAGAGATCCTGGAAATTCTAATAGGACAGCTACTAAGCAGAATTATTGCAGAAATTGGGACACACCTGTTCTTTGAATTTCCATTGAAATTCATGTATTGTGTTCTCCATTGTGTTCTCCATATATAGACCTTTCCATTTGGGATGACGACAACAGATATTTGCTGTTGGTCTCACAGAACTTGGTGAGATTTTGATCAAAACAGAATTGATTTAAAACAGACTTCATATCAGAATCTTAGCCTATAGACTCATATTGAAGCTATGCACTTGAAGCAGCTATAGGATATGGGAAATGAGCCCTTCAGGAGTACCATGGTGAAAACATTTGTGTTCCTAAAACTTCATACATTTTTTCCCCTGTCCAGAAAGCTGTCACAAATGGTGACACTTGAGGAAAGACTGAAATCTTACCTGTTGATTTGACTAGTATCCACTGAGTCTTGCAGTGTTCTTAAATCTCTTTGGGCCCTTTTTTTCCTGTTGTCCCCTTTCTTTTTTCTGTTTCTCCCTGTTTTTGAAAAACACACATAATGGCCAAGTTCAGACTGACAGTTTGCCCCAATATAGGCACAAGCCAGAAATGTTTCACAAACGGATTAAAGAGGCCGTTCACACAGGCACATCTGTCAGGCATTCCCCAGCCGTACTCAACCCATCTTATAACACTTTCCTCCAGAGTTTAAAAGATACCAGGTGAAAGTGGTATCAAACCCTGGAAAACACGATTATCCTGTGTCCATCCCGCTTCCCGGAAGTGTGAACGCGAAAATCTGCAATCCAGTAGGGAGCACATAATTGCACATAACTGGATTATCAGAAAAAGCCACTTACAGCTGTGCCTCTGGGCCAACAGTGTGAATGCTCCCTTGCGCCTCCTCCCCGGTATGCTCCCGCATCAGTTGGTGCAGTGTGACCGGGAAAACCCAGAACAGTCCCAGTCGGGCTTAAAGCTCTCTGGGTCAGTCATACTCAGCCTAACCTACTTCACAGGGTTTATGTGATGACCTATGTGTATATGTGTGGAGGGAGGAGTCAGTTATGCAGCCATGAGCTCCTGGTAGAAATGGTAAGTTAACATATATAGAGACAGATACATGAAGAGGTTCTTTCCGCCCTCAGAGGTATGAAGTATATTGAATTTTGGTGTTCTGTAGCATGAGGAGGGGTGCGTCGGTGCTTACTTTTATGAAGTTACTCATAGCTAATGCATTTTACAGATGCTTTCAGATTAGTGGGGTGGAGATGGGGATACACTGTACAGGCAACTGAACTGGAGTGTTTTCCCCCCTCATCATTGTCTAAGAAAATCTTGGGGGTTATATAATACAATAGTCTCACTACCACAGTGATTTCTCCAGTCAGAATGCCTGACCCATCATTCCACAGATCCCCAATGCAAGTAAGGAAGTGTGAAGGAAATATCTGCGTTGATTTCAGTCCACATTGCTCTAATCAAGGAAGATGTTTGATGGACTGAAAGAGAACTTGCAGTAAGCAGATGTGCTGTGTGGATGTTAGAGTTCCTATGGCCCAAAGAGACACTGGTATAAGACTTTCATGTTCACACAGTGTTGCTGGAGTGACAGAATTGTTCATGTCTGACCTTGCACAATGGTGACCCCTTCATAATCCTGCGGAGATATTTCTTCAAATTCAGTGCCCCCAAACAGATTCTATCAAAATTGTAGGGGTCTTGTAACATTATTCTTAAAAACTGGAGCCCCAGTAACCACAACGTGTGCAAAGCACTTTATACCATTAATTCTATGTAATCCAATTATTTTAGAACCTAAGATAATAAGTGAGAAACTGAAAAGAAACTAAGCAGTGTACTCTAATACAGATGTATCCCAAATGGACCCTAGAAAATGAATCCACTTACCAACTTTCCCTTTCTTGATTTGCTTGTGAAGCTCCAGTGTTCTCTTCATCCAGTTTAACTCCAGTAAGTTTCATCTCACAATTAGAATTTCAGCTGAACTGGCAAAACCACTGTAGTGTGCTCTTCATTTGTACCATCCAAATAATAATTCAAATGCTTTTGCATGCTTATTTGAAAGCTGACTTCGGATTTGGAGAATGATATTCCTTAAGGATATGCCATGTTCCCGAAACAACAATCTAACAAGATTTGCCCACTGGAAGTATGAAACCATTTCCACTTCAGTCTCTAGTGATTTATCTGTTGTTTCTTTCATAAAAAATAACAGGCCCTTACCTGTCCAGGTTCATCAGAATAGGTACATTAGCTCTGTATGACTGATTTGGCATACTTAAACAAATTCCTTGGAGAAAGTGGGGGATGAAAAATTAATAATAGCTATATTCAGATGTTGGCAAGATGGCTGTATCTCTGCCTTGCATCAGGACCAGCAGAAGGAGAGCGTCCTCACCTAATGCAGGGAACTATTTGTGTACCATGCAATTTTTAAATAAGACGTTATGAAATGTGTGACAGCCTGGGGAAGTAGCCCTTCCCTGAGGGTGAAGGGTACAAGAGATTGGAGGGGGCCCCCCCAAATAAAGAAAACAATAAAAGCCATGGTCTAATAGCTGCCATGAGGTCCTGGAAAATTAATTGAACTGGGAGACTATATAACTGCCTTCTGTCAGAAAACTGCTCCAATTCCAGAATCAAACTTTTTGACAGGATGGATTAAACTTTTATAATGCCATTCTGAGCAGTTTGGCCAAGAGGTTTGCAGTATACGTGTCTGAGAGGAAAATGTAGCACACTTGTTCTAAATATTATCATATAAAATGCTAATTTAGGTATAAGAGAATAGGATGGCATTTGGAATAAGTACAGATGTAACTATGAGCAGTGGTGTGCATTAGTTTCTTTTACTATGAGTATATAGAAGCTAACAAAATGCTATTCCTGATTTTTTTGGGGGGTGGGAATCCTAGTACTGGTATGGTATTCTGATCTAGGTTTTATTTTGGAATCCAGTATTATTCATCTCCATTATAACTTTATGAAGAATGTGTTGTGTTTATGCCAGAAGCATCCCAGTTGCTCCTCAGCTGCTTGTGCCTGTCCACAGAAGAACCTCCAAGTTTGAAGATTGGGCCAGGGGTCCAATTCTATGGGCCCCCAAAGAAGATACTCCATCTATCTTCCATTGTTTCCAATGGGAGGGAGTCTTTTTTCCCTCCAGAACAAAAACAAACAGGCATGCTTGCAGCAACCACTGGTCAATGCCTCCTGTGTCAAGAGCCAACAACAAGCCCAACAGAACCGATACAGAACTCAAGAATCCCAGCACAACCACAAGCCAATGTGTCAAACCCCACAGAACTAATGTCAAAACTCTGGAGCCAGCTGACAGAATCTCTCCATCTGTTTCTGAGAGAGAGCGTCAGCGACCCTGTTATTAACTCCCAGCACATGCCTAGCCTTGAACATTATATTATTATGCAAACACTGTAGAGTGAAGTCTCTGACCAGAGCCATGACCCTGGGGGACTTAGACGTCAAAGAGTTGATCACGTGTACTGTGGACATGTTGTCAAACCAGAAGTGGATGGTGTGGTTGGTAAAGTCCCATTACCAAATCCATACTGCTGCGACAGTTGAAAAAAATTCCAGAAAGGTGAGGTCTTTGACCCACCCTGCCTGAAACCATTCCACAGGCCAGTCCCCAGCACACCAGTGCCCTCAGAAGTATACTCCAAAGCCGGAGGAACCTGCAATGTCAGATGCCACCTGCAGCTCCGCTTCGGCCAGGAGGTCCTCACGCCAAATAGAAACCCCATTGTATGAATCCAAAAATTGCTTCCATACAAGGAGGTCATTCCCTTTCCCCTTGGTGATCCTAGTTCTATAATGGGAGAGGCGGAGACCCTTCGTAGACTCACACAGTCTCCTAACAAAGGCCCTACCAGGTTCTACAACTTTGCATGCAAAGTTGAGGTAGCAGACCAACTGGTGTAGCTCGAGCAAGGTTATCTTATTCTTTACCCTAGCTGTGTCTATTAATGCCTGCAGCGCAGTTAATTTATCCAAGGGCAATCTGCAGAACTGCCCCACCGTGTCAATTTCTATTCCCCAAAAAGTCAAAATGGGGGTAGGGCCTTCACTTTTTTTTTTCCTGTGCAAGAGGCACTCCTAGCTCCCTTGCAAGACTGATGTAGCTGGACAGCAAAAAGGCACATTGACCTGTACACTTCCTTCCTGCCAATAAAAAATTATCAAGGTAATGAGCAGTACTGCTGAGACCCATCCTGTACCTCAAGGCCTACTCCAGAAAGGAACTGAACCTCTCAAAAGCAGCACAGGACACCGAGCACCCCATCGGAAGGGCCCTATCCATGTAGAATTTGCCCTCAGAAGCAAATCCGAGGAGCTCGAAGTCAGCTGGGTGGACAGGAAGAAGGCGGAAAGCTCGCTTAATGTCACATTTTGCCAATTCCGCTTCTTGTCCACAGCTGTGCAACACCCGCAGGGCCTAATCAAAGGAAGTGTACCTAACAGTACACAATTCCTCAGGTATTGCGTCATTCACCGACTCCCCACGTGGGTAAGACAAGTGGTGAATGAGGCGATATTCTCCAGGTGCCTTCTTTGGCACAACTCCCAACGGGGAAACCCTCAAATTGCCAACTGGGGGGGAAGGGAAAGGACCAAGGACTCTACCTTCCATACACTCCTTGGCGATTTGTTCCCTAACTATTTGCTCCATACCTTGCACTGATTTCAAATTAGGAGCCATGTACGGAGTTCTACATTTTTGGAAAGGTATCCTAAACCCCAACATGAAACCTTCCAGGAGGTAAACCCGATCTTGGTTCGGATAACCCCGCAACCAATGCTCCAAAACTTTTATCCTAATCAAGCTAGGTCCCTTTGTAGCCCCCACCTCCTCCGGGACACTTCCCTCCTCTACCACCATCCCCGACCTTTCGGTTTAGGGCAGTTAGAGAATGCATGGG